GGCGGCAGCTCCGTTCTGCCTGTGACTGAGGAGACTTTGGGTGCTCTCCTACCTTATTGAAAGGGGTAATTGTAGAGAGAAGTCACCAAGGAAGGAAAGAAAATTTACATTCATTATAGTATTTGCTAGACACCAGGCCGGGTAACTTCATATGTCCTTGTACCATCACAATAGCCCTGTGAGGCGAACACTATTGCACGTTTTATAAAGAGGAACCTGGAGATCAGAGAGGCTCACTGGCTCCTCTAAGGACAAGCTACTAGCTGGTCGAGTTGGGAAGCAAACCCAAATCTGTCTGACATTGAAGTCCACTGCCTTTCTATGAATGGCCTCAGTGCCCCCTTTGTAAGTCCCCTTCCCGAGGAGCCAGTTGTGAGGTTTGTGCCCCACTGGGGACGGGTGCGAGCCTGAACCTGTGAGCACTTGTCTGGACGAGCAGACTCCCAGAAAGCCCTGCCTGCGGTCGCTGGTCTGACCCTTCCTTCGCTCAGCACGATCTTACAACGTGACAGGGAAGCCTCAGTCTCCTAGGTCTCCTCGGAAACACGCAACTCTCAACTTGTTGAAACACGATTTTCATTCAGTTTTCTGTACCTGAGCTTTACATAAAGTTTGAAAACTGAAGTTTGAATTTTTTGTTTTGTTTTATTGTAGGAAAAGTTGCAGAGAGTACAGAGTTGCCCCATTTTCCTCACTCAGTTTCCTAACGTTGCTGTTCCAGGTAGCCTGGTACGTTTGTTAAAGCTAAGAAACTAGCACGGACTACGCGACAGACTTTCTACGGATCTTACCGGGTTTCCCGTCCATGTTCTTCCTCTTCCTCCCCGCAACATCCAGACAAGGTTGTCCTGTTCCGTTTGGTCGGCAGGGATTCTTAATCTACTCTGGTCTGACATATTTCTCAGCCTTCCCCTGTTTGTCCATGGCCTTGACAGTTTTGAAGATCACTGTGCAGGCATTTTGCAACATGTCCCTCCCCCTGTGTGTGTCTGATATTTTTCTCGTGGTTAGGCAGGCATTATGGGCCCTTGGGGAGGGTGCGCGCGCTTCTCATCAAGTCTCCTCAGGGATACTCGGTAGCACCCTGACTTATCAGTGGTCACGTGACCCTCGGTGGCTGGGCGAAGGGGGTATCTGCCAGGTATCTCCTCTCTCCAGTTATTCTAGTTCCCTTTCCAGACTCACCTGGTTAGGAGTCGCTAAGTCCCGCTCAGCCCCAAGGGAAGGCACATCAAGCCCTGCCTCATACAGGGTCTCCCCAGTCTTGTCTCCTGTGCTTACCTCTTCCCCAGTCTTCACTTGTGGGAGCAGACAAAAAGACTTCCTTGCTCCGCCATCGGCCACGTCCCCGCACGGCTGCACAGCCACTCCACCCATGCTCTCCACCCCTGCCGTACCGCTGACGCTCAGTCTTCTTCCTCAAAGACTGATCGTGCTGCGTGCGGCCAGGACGCCCTCCTCCAGCCCCTCCCAGTACCTGAAGTCTAGGACGCAAGAGGGGTGCCGACCCAGGGAGCCAGAACCCCACCTCCTTATAAGGTGGTGCCGAAAGAAGCTGCAAAGAGTTTGAATATACTTGTATGTATACCCACAATTTTTGTTCCTGTTACACACGTTTGTTAAAAGTTTAATCTGCTCAGTTTCTGAGTTTCTGGACTCACACAGCGCATTAAGGAAGAGAAGAATTAATTTGCCCAGGTCAACCCCTGCTAGCGAGAAGTCTCCTTGATGCATCTGGGGGCAGTGCACACTTCCAGGGAGCCTTGAAGAGGCCGCCTGTGCGTGGGAGTACACAGTGAGCTCGTGGTTGGGACAAGTCCCAAGTACACTAGGGACGGAGATGTACTTAGCCTTGCAACTTGGTGGGGGAGGGCATTTCTAGGGGGACAGTTTCAGACTTGAGTCTTGGAAATCGGAGTCTTGCCCTAGCTACTTCTTTCTCTTTTACTTGGCTTTTTGTGCCTGGGCTAGCCTTCTTCCATGATCTCCGGCTCTTCCTCTTGCGAGCTCACCGCCGTCTCATCTCTGAGACACGCGTGGCTGCCTACACTTCTGTCCGTTCCATCATGATGGCCGAGAGGAACCTGCCTTGTTGGAAATCCTACAGGCCATGCGTGGGGAAAAGACCTCGTTAGCCCTTACTCCAGATTATTGCTAGCAGTAACATGAATTAAAATTTTTGTTCTTTGTATTTCTTTGATTTTGAAATAAAATGAGAGGGTAACATGAAAAATGGAATAGAAACCAGAGCTGTTGCTCTCTGAGCAATGCAAAGTACATTATTTTAATAAACTCCAGAAGTAGAAACTGAGTTTTCATATTTTGCATGGGAAGTATCACATTTTTCTAAACTACTGTGGACAATATAATTTTCTTTGCATAATGTATGTCCTATGATGAAAGGAAGTGAAAATACCTATTATTTTGAAATAACATGTGTTTGAAAAGAAGACAAACTTGTGCATCAATTGCTAGATATTTTTTAGGCAAGCATTTTTCTTATTGGAATTAACTAATTATCTGAATTCTCCAAGTGGTTCAGGCTTTCTTAATGCCAGTAATAAAGTAGTCTGTCAAGAAACATTCATATTTATGGGAATTTCTTTCTTTCTTCTTCCTTCCCTCCCTTCCTCTCCTCCCTCCCTCCCTGGCCAGAATAGGCTTTCTGTATACAGGTCACTTGACTACCACGCTTTGTATGCAGTTCACCACCCAGAACCTAGAGCATGACAGGGCAGGGTGGCAGACGAGGGGTAGTTATGTCTGCTGTCTAGAAGTCACCATAGAAACCTAGTTCTTATTTTTCTGGGACTGGCTTCTTTCATTTAGCATAATACTCCCCAGGTCCATCTATGCTGTTGCGGAAGGCAAGATTTCCTTCTTTTTATAGCCCAGTAGCACTCCATTGTAGAAATGTACCACAGCTTTTTTTTTTAATCTGCTCATCTACCAGTGGGCACTTGGACTGCTTCCAGATCTTGGCTATTGTGAATAACATTGCAATGAACCAATGTCACACCAATAAATTCAATAGAAATGTTTTTAAAAGATGAGAAACCCTGCTCTTGGAGAAGTGCACGTCTCATCCAGGTTTTCTGGCTTGTGGCAGATTGTGACCTTCTCTGCACCTCCACAGCCACAGCCGGCATCTCGAGGCACCAGGCCCTGCATCCGAGTGGAGATGGTACACGCTGTGCTCCCTGGAAGCAGGGCTGCACATGCTCACTCCTGTGTCCTGCACCTGGTACACTGCCTGGCACGTAACGAGCATCTTATCCTAATCTGAACGAGGGGAAATCTGTCCCACAGTCCATGGTAGTCTTAGCAGACCAGCTGAGGTCCAGAAAGGGCAGCAGTTTGTCTGCAGCTCCACCGAGTACCGGAGGCCACGCTGGGGCCGGATGCGGGCGCTCCTGACCCTTCGTACGGAACTCTTCCTACTACCCCGCTGCTGCCTTTCTGAGGAGCTAGCCTGGCCTTCCTCCTCCTTTCTCATCTAGTTCCTCTTGCTCCCCACTTGTTCAGAGTTGTGCCTAGCCTGCTTTGAACACTGTATTGTTTTTTTGGTTTTTGTTTAATTTCCTGTGTAGCAGCACAAACTTAGCAGCTTCAAAGGACATACATGTATTGTGTCACAGTCTCTGTGGCTCAAGAAGTTTGGACACAGCCTGCGTGGGGCCTGTCTGTAGGGTTTTGGAAACTGTGGTGAGGATGTTGGCTAGGCTGTTCCTTCTGTGGAGCTCAGGGTACTCTCTCAAACTCAGTGGTTGTTGGAAGAGTTCAGTTCCTTGCAGTTGTAGGACTAAGGTTTTCTTACTGGCTGTCAACTGCAGGCTCACCTCAGCATCCAGAAGTTTTGTGCAGTTGATCACCATGTGGCAGCTGGGCTCTTCAGGGCCAGGAGGAGGGCCCCGTCCCTTGTCCCAGATTCTAACTGATTAAGTCAGGCCCACCCAGGATGATCTACTTTTGGAAAAACTCAACCTTGCATAATTTGGGATCTTAATTACATCTGCCAAAGCCCATCGTCTTTGCCACATAATGTAGGCACAGAAGTGCCATCCCATTTTGTTTACATTCCTCTTGCAGCTCAAGGATTGTTCAGGATGGGCATCTTGGGGGCTGTCTCAGAATCTAGTCTACCACACACACATCTGCATGGGGCTGGTCCCAGGGAAGTTGCAGTCTGGGTAGTAAATGAAGCTTTACCTATGTTTCCTGATAACTGTGCTTATCTTTTTTTTTTCCACTTCTTGGGGCTCATCTTCTTCCTCATCTCCTTCCTCTGAGACCTTGATGTGAGATACAGGCTAAACCAAGTGTGCGAGGGTCGCTGGTCATCAGGGCAGGGGGCTTCGAAGACCCTGACTAACAAGAATGTCCTCTCTACCTGACCTACATATATGTTTTTTATTTGGCACTTAATATAATGTTTTGGCTCTCTGATTGTTTTCTGCCCCCAAACTTCCTCTACTTCTCTCTTTGGTAATGAAATATACTTTAAATTTTTGTGTTTATTTGACTTTCATGCTCATATGTTGAGAGTTTTTTTGTGAAAATAAAATTTCATTTTTTATTCATATGAGCTCCCCTCTGGCAGGGTGTAGAACCTGAGAGTGTCTGATCTGGCCTTTCTCACTGACGCGTCTCTCATATTACACGCTGGTGTCTAGACGTCGGCCCGTGAGCCCTGAGAAGGAAGCTTGGTGTCTGCGCTGCTGGTCCAGGTCCCTGGGTCTAGGCTCGGAGTTCGCTCGTGTGGATGCAAATACGAAAGGGATCATAACTTCTACACTCTGTTCCTGGTCACGGCTGGTCAATGTGTGCTTGAGGACAGGTTGCAGAAGGGCAAGGCCAGATCCAGATTTCATGGTGTGAAAACTCACTGGGAGTGTGGTGTCATGCTCAGGGGACCTGAAGCCCCACCTGGAGCCGCAGGCATTCCTCAGCACGAGAGCCGGGCACTTCCCGAGACAACCGAGAAGGCTCCTTCCGCAGCTATGTTGACTGCCACCCTAGGGCTGCTCATGCTGGTGGCCGTGGCCGAGTTTCTCATTGGCCTGGTTGGAAACGGAGTCCTCGTGGTCTGGAGTCTTCGAGAATGGGTCCGAAAATCCAAGGCGCTCTCCTACCACCTCATTGTCCTGGGCCTGGCTGGCTGCCGATTTCTCCTGCAGTGCCTGATCATGGTGGACTTAATCCTGTGTCCGTTCTTCCAGAGCAACCTTGGGCTCCGCTCTCTCAGTGTCTTCTGGGCTGTGGTCAGCCAGGCCAGCCTGTGGTTTGCCACTTTCCTCAGTGTCTTCTATTGCAAGAAGATCACGACCTTCGAACACCGCGTCTACCTGTGGCTGAAGCGGAGAGCTTATTGCCTGAGTGGCTGGTGCCTTGTAGGGGGCCTCCTGACCAACGGGTTACTTGCAGCGCGCCTTAGCTCAGAGTTCTACAGTCCTTCCCAAAGAAATAACAGCATTCTGGACCAGATTTCGAACTGGCACTACCAGCGTGTGCTGCGTCTCAATTTGGGAAGTGCGTTGCCTTTCGCGGTGTTTCTTCTTTCCTCTGGGATGCTGATTGTCTCTCTGTACAGACACCACAGGAAGATGAAGGTCCACACGGCTGGCAGGAGTGATGCACGGGCCAAGGCTCACATCGCTGTCCTGAAGTCCTTGGTCTGCTTCCTTATACTTTACGTGGTTTACTTCGCGGCCAGCCCCTACTCCATCACCGCCAAAGTCCCTCCTGCTGATCTCGTCACCATCTTTGTCTCGGAGACACTCATGGCTGCCTCTCCTTCTCTTCATTCCGTCATATTGATCATGGGGAACCCCAGGGCGAAGGAGGCTTGTCGGAGGGCCCTGCGGAAGGCAGCGCGTGCTTGGCGGTCCTGAGGCCCGCGCGCCTGAGGGAGAAGAGCGGTTGGGGCACCAGACAGTCTTTGGACAGCTCTCGATGGGGGAGGTGACTTTTATAGCTTCTGAAGTTTTCCTTCTTTCACACAAACGGGCAACAGGCATCGTAGACTAAAAATACTATTTCTCTCTCGGCAATGCAGAGTACATTGTTTTAACATGCTATGGAAATCAACGCTGGGGCTTTAGATTTGGTAAAAGGGGTGTTATATTCTGTTTCTGTATAGTAAATAATATATTTCTTTTTAAGTTACATATGTAAGTTACATTTTTCCTGCTGTAGGAAACAGAGATGAGGGGCAATCAGATTAATTTTTGTGAAATTTCATCTATCCCTTAATGTTAGGCATTTTGGATAAGCTTTAAAAAGAGATGTATCTAGTTTTCTTTTGCCACTTCTTTAACATAGTAGGTCTAGTTATATAACTAAAAAACAAAATAAAACATCTTTGTATTTCAGGACATTTCTCTGAGCCCTCGAAGTCAGTTGGCTGCCTTGATTGATACGAAGCTTCAAAGCCCAAACCTGGAGTGGGGCAAGAAAGGAGGGAGGGGCACTTGCTTCTGCTCTTAAAAAGAACACCTCTCCTTGAAGAGGTCACGCCTCATCCTCCTTGGTCATTTAGCCTCCCTGAGGGCCCGCTCGGGCCTCCCCACAGCCCGAAGTCAGAGTGTGAGCAGGCTGGGTCGCTGAGCTGGACAGCACCCCGGGGGCAGACGCACAGCCGCAGGAGCTGTGTCTGCTTTTGTTTTCTCCCGGGTCCCCAGTGCCTGCAACCCCATGCAGAACGCAGCTTCCTGACCCCTGGTGCGGGGCTCTTTCCCTGACGTCATGCTGCCTTGCTAATGCGCTAGCTTCACCGTGCGCTCCTCCGAATCCCGTCCGTCTTCCGTGTGCTTCCTCAGCCTCAGTTTTGAGCCGCGTGTGAACACATTGCTTTTGGCTCAGTTCTAGGGGGTCTGGAATCTAATGGACAACACTTAAGATGCTTAAAGTTTTCTTCCACTTCCTGCACATCATGCTACTCTACTTTCATTAACTTATTTTCTCTAACGTGTCTTTCCCTTGCTGAAAGTCGTGAACTGCGGCACATGGTAGCCACGTGTGGGTGTTTGTCATCAGGGGGAGAGCTGGCCCCACCAACATCACAGTGAGTTGTTGAGGTCACGCACTGTCTTTTGTTTTCTGGGAGTGAGAGTCCATTCTTCTCAAGTAGAGAGCTGCCTCTCCTTGGTTACGCTTTTAGTAGCAGTGTGAATTTTTCATTATGCCAGGCCTTGTTTGGATGGATGTCCTTTGTGACCAACCGTTATAATGGCAGTTACGGTACCTAACATTTCTGGGGAGGTTACATTCTATCAAGTATTCTTACATGTAGTCCATCATGCCATTAGATTTTAATAGCAACTCTGTGCAGTTGGTAATTCTAACTCCATTTTACAGGCAACAAAACTTAGGCTGGAATGATAACTTGCTTAAGATCATCAACTGTCAACTGGTAAAAATGCAGATAAAACAGTTACAGATTTTTGGACTCCCAAGTCTTGTGGATGTCCAGTAAACCCGAAGTCCCTCTTGTTCAGACTTGTAAGAATTTATGCTAGCAGGCCTGTGGAGTGCTCGAGTTGATGAGTATTTTTAAACAGATGAAATAAGCAGCTAATCCTGCAAGTCTCGTGTTGGTGGGATGCATGGGAGCCAGGGTCCAAACTCACAACAATCTGAAGTTTCTACAACTTGCTTTTCTGAGGGACAAAACCCTTGTGTTTTCCCAGTCACCTTTCGGGATTAGGTTTCCTTCCGTTGCTGCACATGATTTAGCTCACGATGGGTGTGAGGTTGCTTTGTGTTTTATCCAAGAAAACAAATCTGGAGGCAAATTCGTGTTCTTGAATCGATTCCTATGTAATTAAACCTTCTGTAGTTTGCATTCTGACAGCTGCAGCTGGATCCGCGTGCATGGGCATGCATGACTGTGTGCCCGTGTGTGTAGCTATCACTAGCCTTCCTTTTTGTTGTGGGGAGTGACCGTGTAGCCTAGAGGGGGACTCAGGGATTTAAATGGTACAAAAAGGTAGAGAATGAATCACGGCGTGTGCCCCTTTCTCTCTCTCTTGTTAGTCTCCCTGACCAAGTGTAGTCCAATTTTCCCATTTGTCTTAGTTCTTCTAGTGATTATTTTCACAACTCTAAATAAGGTTTGTCCCTCGAACTTGTTTTATCAACTTTGAACAATAACTTCTGAATCCCATTCATTAAAGTTTGGGGATTATCTCAACCCCAAATCTGTTCCCCTCTCCCATATCTGATTAGTTTTATTTATTTGTCATTCTACCAGCCATTCATGTAAAAACTTTAAGTAATATGTTTTTCAACTTAGTGTTTGAACCATAACTTACGGCAGTATCTGAGAATCTTAATCAGAGCAGAAGGAGGAAGTTCGTGTTTCCACTCTCCTGTACTTCTCCCAGGACCCAACTCGTTGTTCAGCTCCACGTAGCTTAAGGAGGAAACAAATCTGCTGGAAGAAAACTGGCTTCATCTGAAAGAATCAGGGGGGAGGCTGCAGAGTCAGTGTCAAAATGGCAACCAAGATGGTTTAAACAGCCGAGAACACAACCAAGTTACTCGACAGGACGGGTGCCGGCACCACCCCCCACATCGCATCTGTCAGCACTGCGTCCTTCCCCTGCCACTGCCTCTGGGAATGTGTCCCTTTCAGTCATAGCTCCAAGGTCCCAAATCCTGGTGAAGAGCCTCTGGGTGGCTGGTTCCAGGTCACACTCCTCCCTAGTGGACGGGTCCTGAGGGTGGCGGGGGAATCAGGTGGAGGAAAAGTCTGATTCCCCTTTGGCTTCTGAACGATGCATTTTTAAATTAGATGAAGTGAAGTACTCATCAACTAATTTAAGCAGCAGAATCAATACAGCTGATGGTGAATTAATGAACAGGAAGTTTGGTCCAAAGATGTGTCTTAGAGGGTATGGGGAAGCAATAGGAAGATGGAACATGTAAAAGAAAACGAAGCTATACGACGCACAGAAATAACAGGGTAGAGTCAGAGCAATTGAGCACAGGGCTGGTTGGGAGCAGGAGGGAGGCAATGCCTCTGTTAAAGAAACACGTTTCCTCAAGCTCTCTGGTGGCATTCTGACAGGGAGGGACACTGACAAAAAATTAAAGAGCAGAAAGCAAGTTTCTTCAGAAAAACATGCAAAGAAGCAAATACTGGTGAAAGTTCAAGAGCCCTGTCACCTTCTAGGGCAGACCCTCAGTGGCAGAGATGGTAACGTGTTTCAGACGGAGAAAAGGAGGGATGCCCGTGTTGGGATTTAGAGGAAAAGTCCTAACTGATAGTAGAGAGTACTGGATGGATTCAGAAGGTGGAGTGAAACGAGGAAGAAAAGGCATTTCTTTAAATCCTGAGCCATGGAGCCAGCAGAAGGACCAGATTTCTGACATTGATGATGTAGTAAGAAAACTGTGAAATCAGAGCCAAATAAAACTTGTACTGTTCTGGTTGTTTGAATCTGTCTGTCTACGTTGGCTTTTGTTTTCTAAACATTTTCCAGGCTATTGTATCTTTGGATTGCAGAACAATTTGCACCATTTTTTAAATGTGCATTGTTAAAAATGTTCAGAGTGAAGCTACTTGTGAACTTCATTAAGGACAATTGCTTTGTCCTTACAAAGTAAAATAAAATCAAGTAATACAAAAAACATACATACATACATACATACATAACAGGGTGTTTGTGTAAATGGAGTCCCAGAAGGAGATGGTAAAAACGAAAAGAAGGAATAAAATATTTGAGGAATTAATGACCAAAAATTACACTAAGTTAAAGAAAGATTAAAAAAATACTAGATTGAAAAGGTTCAAAGTGTGTTAAACAAGACAGATAAGTCGAGGGGGGGACCTTTCACACTTACGGACATTATAGAAAAGTTTAAGACTATCGAAGGTGAAAGGAAAATTTTCAGAACTTTAAGAGAGAAAGAGAAGATCAAAAGTCAGAGTGACACTTCTCAGCAGAATGCAGAAAAACAAGGTTTGGCATTAAATTTTATTCTGGTGAATGTTTTATTCTTAAATTCAAATAACACTGAGAAGAAAAGTTTAGAAATATTTTTCCGGCTAAAATAAAATATTTATTTTGCATTAATCACAGGGAGTTAATTTTTAAAACGTCAGTGAAAGCTTAGTGGATTGAGGACTATGAGTTAGTGAGCAAATTCTGAAGTGTTCTAACAATAAAAGAAAATGTTGAAACTCTAAAGGACTTGGAAAGACTGTGGTGTGACTCTACAGCTGAATTAACGGGGCCAGTGCTGCATGTAAATGAAGATGATTCTAGGTGGAAAAACTTACCTAGCACAATAGTTACCAGTGCTACTTCATAGAATGAAGTAAAGGAAATGGGATGAAGAGACAAAAAAATTAAGCATATAGACTGAAGACCAAATAAACTGTTGGGGTAATTTACTGTCCCTTACAATGAAAGCCTTAGCAATATCTGGGCACCCCTAGAAGAAAGCTGGAAAGTTTGCAGAAGTGCTTTCCTTTAGTGGAGCTAGTGGAGTAGTAGCTTCAAGAATCTACATTGTCCTGGCTGGTGTAGCTCAGTGTGTTGAGCACGGGCTGCGAACCAAAGTGTCGCAGGTTCGATTCCCAGTCAGGGCACATGCCTAGGGTGCAGGCCACGGCCCCCAGCAACCGCACATTGATGTTTCTCTCTCTCTCTATCTCCCTCCCTTCCCTCTCTAAAAATAAATAAATAAAAAATCTAAAAAAAAAAAGAATCTACATTCTACACAATGCTGAGTTACTGGTGAAATTACGAGTGAGGATTCAATAGCTGAAAAACATTCCTTTTGTGTTTTTAAAAAAGTCATTGTTAGATGGGGCTCCAGGCTGGTTCGTAATTTTAATGGTAGTGAAACTGATCGTTAGAAAGTAGTGCCCTCCAAGATTTGT